CCCCCCCCCCACCCCCCACAGCGCTTTGGCTCTGCCTTGGTGCCCACCGGGAACCTGCAGCTGAAGAAGAAACAGTATGAGAAAGACTTCCGGCCCATAGACCCCGAGTGTGCCTGTCCCACCTGCCAGAAGTAGGGGAAGAGGGGGGCCCGGGGGCGGGGGGAGGGGGCGGAGGTGTGCAGGACCCTGCATCACTCGGCCCCGACCTCCTGTCCGCAGGCACAGCCGGGCCTTCCTGCACGCACTGCTCCACAGCGACAACACCGCTGCCCTGCACCACCTCACCGTCCACAATATCGCCTACCAGGTGGGCCTGTGACCAGGGCGGGCCAGGCGCAGGGTGGTGGTGGGAGGGTTCTGGGCGCCCCCCTCTCCTTCCCCCTGGGCTGACGCTGGCACCTACCCCCTGCAGCTGCGGCTGATGAGCGCTGTGCGTGCCAGCATCGTGGAGAAGCGCTTCCCTGACTTCGTGCAGGACTTCATGGGCACCATGTATGGGGACCCCACCCTCTGTCCTGCCTGGGCCACCGAAGCCCTGGCCTCTGTAGGAATCACACTGCGTTGATCTGGTTCCGGCGAGGGAGGGAGGGAATGGGAGGTATTGAGGGATTTTTTAAGATTATTATTCTAATTTAGAGTGTATCTGTGCCTTCTCGGGGAGGTGAGCTGTCTAGGACCTCTTCCTCCTCTGAGTGTCATTGTGGCCAACGTCCCCCCGCCCCGCTTCCTGTTGATGATAATAATAAGTAATCATAGCAGCTGCTGATACCTGGGAACCACCTGGCACAGCCCAGCATGTAGCATGTGCCCCAGTGTGGGAGCTGCATCCTTTTTCCTGTGGCTTTGGCCCCCCTAGTCACCCTGAGGGTGGGCACTCTCGTTCCCCGACTTATTACAGGTGAGGAAACAGGCCTAGAGAGGAAGCAGCTTGCCCAAGGTCACCACCGAGGAAGTGGCAGGCTGGCTCCAGAGCTCATGCTTTTAGCCTTGAACATGGCTTAATTTTGCCGTCAGCAAACACAATGATGAAGACAGTAGGTGTGATATAGCAGGGTGCTTACACTGTGCCTGGGACTGTTCTGAACGGTTGTCATGTGTGTATTTGATTCTTGCAACTTTGTGATGCATATATAGCTGCATCCCCCATTTTACAGATGAGACTGAGGCTCAGAGGAATGAAGGCACTTGGCCATTATCACCTGGCAAATACAGAGGCCCATGATCTAACCTAGAGATGGCCAATTACAGAGCTGGTGCTCTTAGAAGATAAGGGGTTTTAAATTGGAAACGTAAGACTTGTATAGGATCCACTATTCTAATAGCATAAAAATGCAACTACTTTGATTAGTTTGTGTATTCTTCCAGAAATTTTCCACGTGTACATATTTTTCATGAATGTGGCGTCCTTTACCTGCCGCTCTGTACCTTTTTTTTCCTGTTAGTATATTTGAAATTGTTTACACGTCAGAACATGAAGACTTCCTGTCTTTTTTTACAGCTGTCTCACAGTGTTTATTTAACCGGCTCCCGTGAATGGGTATGTAGGATGTTTACAGGTTTCTGTCACTGCGGTCAAGGCTACCATGCCAAAACCTCGTCGGTTGACTTTTTGCCCATCTCTCTGAGACGGGGCTTTTGGGTCTCCGAGCAGGCAGATACCTTTGGCTGCTCTGCTCGCCTCCTCCCCACTGTTTCTTTATTCCCCTGTTACTGCCTCACCAGCCCACTTTCCTACCTCCATTCCATCTGACTCCTTTTTGGGCTTCTTTGGCCAATCTATGCCCGCCCCCGGCGCGACGCCCGCCCCCGGGGATCAGATCACTTCTTTTCGTAAGATCCTTCCACCTATCCCCGGCTTTTTTCCCACGAGGAACAAGATTTCTAGTTCACAGAACCTCCAACACTGACTAGAAGATATCATTTCACGGGGAGAGGATCTGTTGGGTTTCATTGTGGACTTAAAAAGATCACGATGTGCTCTAGCCAAAGAGGCAGGGGAGCAACGTTGCAGGCAGGCATTAGCCAAACCAAGTCGGGGCGTGAGCGAAAGGTATTCCCGGGAAAGGGCCCAGCATTTGCAAAAGCGTGGAGGTGGAACTTTATACACGAATGAAAGTGGAGCCAACGCTACAGCGCTACCGCCTCTCTCTAGGAACCACTAACGCCAGATTCTTCAAAACGCATTGAAACGCCGCGCGAGTAGCTGGTTTGCAAGCCCGGGGCCGAGATGCATTCTGGGACTTGTAGTTTTCTCTAGAGGCCGGAAACTCTGAAGCTACGATCATTACCGGGTCCCACCACGAGGTGTCGCTCTTCGGCGAGTACGACGGGCCTTCTCCTTTACTCCAGAAGACACTAATGGACCTACTACAACAATCATTAGAACGGGGGATTCTTTGATTGACAGGTTCTCAGTCAAAGTCAGGATTCGTAGGTCAAAGCCCGTCCTCTTTCGCTTTGTTGGCTGGAAGAACGGAGTGATATTTATATAAACCAATGGGAAATTCTTAGGGAACTAGGTGGTGTCAAGTGACAAACCAGTCTATGAATCGATCCCTAACGTCACTGGCCTGCACTGTAGACTGGCGGGTCTTCCTGCCAGTAAGACTGTTGGGTTTTCTTGCAGTTCGGAAACTCCCCGCCCCAGTAGGCCGGGCCAACATTGCCTTTTCCCGAAACACCGCCTCCTGGCCTTGACAACTCACTGCCCGACGCTATTGGCTCTTGCACAAAAACGACAGTTCTTGAGTCCAATGTGTCCACCGCGAGGTCCCCAGGAGGAAGGATCATTCAGCCATAGCCCTATACCTCATTTTCATTGGCTCCTGTTTACGAGTGGCAGCGCGACCGACCAATCGGGGGAAGTGTGAGGGCTTTGGGCGCAGCCCCCGGGCCCGGGCGG